GGTGGGTGGGTGCGTGACCGTGTGTACCTCGAGTATGATTGAATTACTCAGGGTTAATTAGATTCTGTAGTCCACAGTAATGGTTCACACACACAGACACACACACACACTGAGACATCCTTCAGATAGGCTTTTTCAGGCTTATTGCCAGCGGCGTTGTCATCCGAGTGTTAGTTCAGAGGTTTCTGGGAAGCTGTGTGGCGTTAAGAAGACTAGAGGACAGTCAGTAAGGATTTATTACACACATATCTGTTTGTCGAGCCACTCTGAGTGAGAAATATCACAGTTTACTCTCATTTTGAGACAGCAATATGCTCGTTAAAAGTATATGTTTGTACTTTCTCTAAGACTATTGTCCTAAAATGCAACTTAGAGATCACATTATGTCATTTGTTTTCCACTTTGTGCATTTCCATAAATAATGTACATTTATAATTAAAGAGGCACAGTGGCATTTTTATGGCCACTAGAAAAAATGGGTCAGAAACTTAAGGGTTTTTGCAGCATGTAGCAAGAGGATACTAAAGCACAGGGCTGCTATGCTGAGTGTGTCATTGCACTTTGCATTGATTGGCCAACCGGTTGGTCTCTCACAATTTACTGCTTGTCATTCAAGTGAGATGGGGATACAGTTGTTCCTGGCAATTAAAGTGAAAGGGCTATTCATTGTTGCATTCATGCAAACCATTAGCAAATATGTTTGTGAAATTTGGATTTGCACAGGTTTGAGAAAAAAAAAAAGCATTCACGTTCTTTGGTTGCAGTATTAAAGTTGCTGTGCTAAATAATTTTTACTTTTGTGTGTTTCCAGTAGGTTAGTTGAATACCAGCCAATTAGCAAATATGAGCTAACCAATAACTGCAGAAGAACACTGCACCAGTGATGTCCACTGCTGAACTTTGAGAACTCAGTGTGCATGTATAATGTAGCCGATTTTCCACCTAGAACACAACATGTCGGCAGCTGAAGTCAGATGTGTCTAACATTTCTAGCTGTCCATGTCGGAAACGGTTAAGACTAAAAGACATTGATCGTCCCAGACCTCTGAATCACTGCCCACATGTCAGATTTGTTCAGCAATTCAAACGTGTCTGGTGTAGAGCCCATTGAAGGCTGTTGGTGCCGGTGATAGAAACAACTAACCAATCAGAGCTTTAAGATTAAGAAGGGGGATGTCATTTTTATACAGAGCTAGCAAGCTAGCAAGCTACCTAGCTACGTAGAGTTGTGCAAAATAGCAGCAGAAAGATTCATGAATGGTGGTTTTGTTCATGGGCATGCACTGCGTGATAAATTCATCTTAATGAATACATTATAATGTCAGTATTTATGAATATCAACACATTTTGCATTAAGAGATTTTTAGGAGCTCAAGTGATGTGTCTGAGTCAGTGTGTTAGCGTCAAACTTGCTGCATGTGTCCGTGTGGATGATTGTGTAAATGTGTGTCTTCATGATGATATTGACATGGACCAGGTCTGATGTAACAGGAGTTAATATTCAGATCAAACAGACTATTAGATTATGGCTGTAGAGAATCTGTTGACAGCTCAATGCTTGCGTCTGTATGTCCATGAGTGTTTGTGTGTGTAATAGGTCCCTTTGCGCTTGAACATGGAAAATAAACTTCCTGCAACTTTCATCACATCTCAAAATACACGTTGCACTTGTTGTGCTACACCGATTTGTAGGAAATGTGGTTACCATGCATAAACCTCCATGCCTCGGCTCTTCCCTTTGATCTACGTACTGTCATGTGGTTTCTGAGCTGCTGAGCAATAATGGAAGACATTTAATTGTTTGTATAAGCATTATTTTTATCACCTGAAGTCTAACCATGTTTGTCTTCTTTGTGTGTCTCTGTGTGTGTGTGTGTGTAGAGTACAGTCGTTTCGAGGCGAAGATCCATGACCTGAGGGAACAGATGATGACCAGCAGTGTCAGTTCCAGCTCCACATCGCTCCGCTCCACACAGAAACGCACACTTTACGTCAGGTAACACACACACACACACACACACACACAGTAGACAGAGGTGACTGATTGTCTAATGAGTGTCCTTCAGTGTGACACAACTACTATAAGGTCTTATCTCAGCTGTCGTCTAGGTTTTGTGTGTTTGAGAGATGCTGAAAGAGAGGTAATCACATGGAAAATCACAATTAGGTTGTCTGGCAAATACTGTCTAATGCACAAACACGTCCATACCCTGTCCGCTGTCTCGATTTCTGTGTGTGTGTGTGTGTGTGTGTGTTCCTGTGTCCTTGTGTCATTCTTGTCCTCGCCTGTCCTGGTTGTTCAGTCTTCTCTGAATCACCCTGTCCATCCTTAGTTTCCTCTGAAGAGCCCAGGAGCACCGTCAGTCCTAGACCACCTACACTTTTAAGATCCTTTCTTCACAAGAATCACAGCATTTGAAATATTGATTAAACGCTAGGTCGTCGGGACCAGATAAGTCACATTGGAGCTCTTGGGAGATCAATACAATGGAAAACAAAGAAGGGAAAAGCAGCTCTAATGTTCACACTAATGATTAAATCCACTGGTTAGGCCAGAAGGAGACAAGGAATGTTTTTAGGTTGTACCAGCCACAGTCTCTGCAAGGATTTGAAGATTTTAAGAAGTCTTTGGCTTTTTGTAGATGTGTGTTTAACTCGAAAACAATGAGCAGTCAAAGACCGAAAAGGAGGGTTGCCTTATAGTCAAGAAAAGGTTCAGGAGGGTTCAAGAACCATTTTAATTTGTGTGTTCATTGTCAGTCTTCAGACAAAAAAGGAGCAAAATAGCTTGTTAAGGAATTAAAGATTCTAATGAGGTTTATGGTTTTACAATAATACACAATATCTGTCATTATATTATCAATGTAGATAGTAAACAAAACTTGTTATAAAGGATTTTAATAAAGCTAGCTCTGGGTGGACATTGTGACAGACTGGTAACATCACCATAGGGGCTAAACATTGTATGTTTCACCATTTTTTTGTGTTTTGTTTTATTTCTGGGCAAAAATCCCAGTAATACAAAGATCAGAGGAAACTACAGCTGACAAGTACTGTGCATGAAAGGAACATCTGACCTGAACTGTGCAAGTGGCCTGGAAGGAAAAGATGGCAGCAGCAGCAGCCGGGTCAGAGTCACCTTGAACTACTCTCTCACAGGCTGACTCACACTCAGAGCAGCTCTGAGGTCAATCTGTACAGGAAGCTAGAGGCCAAAGGTCACATTCAGCCCTGTGGGAGCTGTAGTCCAACAAGTGTCAGAGATTTATCAGACAGACTGCTCATCTGATTTATCTGTCTGACTGAGAAAAAAGCTGACTTACTGACTTAAACCTGCTGTTTTATTGAGTATGTGACTGAAATATGATTCTGCTTTTTATTTCATCTCTTAGAGTGTGTTGAAGTCAACGTCAGTGAACCCAGACTGCTTTGTAAAAACGTTACATGACCTACTTGGCATACCCACCATTAAAAAAAAAAAATTCCCTTTGTGAAATGTAGATTTAATAGAAAAATATGAGGAGACATGACATTGCAGCTGCTTGCCGTCACCCTTGTTAAATTTTTAAGTAGTCACCCATAGGCGTGATTATCATTAGCATAAATTAAATTTGCACCCAGTGGTTTTGTTTGGTTTTGGAAAGGAGAAATGCCCTGTCCACAGCTCATTTGATAAAATCAGATGATGCCTGGGTCACAATGTTTATACATTGATTGTTTTTGTATGGTGAAAAGCACTTTGAGCTACATTTGAGTTAAATGGTGCAATAATAATCAACTTGAAGTATATTTAGCTATTATTTAGAAATGTAATTTTCTGCAAAAAGGGAAGATTATATTAATTATATTTTTTCAAGAAAACTTACACTACAAATATACATATAAATCTTTTTTGGTGCCATGAAAACTGTAATCACTTAGAGGTTGATCAGGCTTAGAGAGCAGTTACAGACATGGTTGCAGAAAAATAAGCAAAATATAATCAATGTCATGTAGAAAAAAGAACGTTTGTTTTTAGTCATTAGTATAACACAAAAAACAACAGATTCACAGACCAGAACAAAATTAAAGTCAGCTCATATTGAGTCTCCAGCATCAAATGTTAAAACTCAACAAGGTTTTTCTGCTTCAAATCATTTTTGCAGTGAGTTCCATAGAAAGAAAGCAGAGTACAAGTTCTTTTGCCTTAATTCAAACCTGAACAAACAGATAATAACAAGAATAAAAGTCTACAGCTGTGCTAGCAGCTCAATGAGGTTATATGTAGCACAGTTGTGCTTTGAGTTCATATTTGCATGCTAAATGTATACAGTGCCAATGTTAACATGCTAAGGGAAAATGCCCGACGAGGTGTCCATTATCAGGAATTAATGGAAGACGTGGAGGCCAGAACCATCCGAGTAGTAGTTTAGCATGTCAGCATGTTAACATTTCCTATTTAACCTTAAACACAAAACAGATATTGACAGAAATCATAATTTTTGCATCACAAGTGTAATTTTCACTTAAAAAAACTATTAAAATCATGCGTGAAATGTGACATTTTTGGGGGTCTATACCAAATAAACATGCTTTCTTAAATCTGGAGGACAAGATTTGTAGGTCAGAGTATCTCTGCAGCACTAAAATACTTCATTACAGTGTTTTGTCATATATTTTACCCTCATCAAAACATTACAGCTCTGATATTGCTTATATGATTGGCACTTAGCCATATTGCGCTTTCGATAATATTTCGATTAATTGTACAGCTTTAGTGGACACTGAACCACTGAATTTGAAATTTTTCTGTACATGACTGTATGATGCAGATTTAATAAGGAAATATGAATGCGTCAAATAATTACCATGACACCTCCTTGTAAGTTAATCACTTTACATTATGAATTTTAATGACCACGTTCCTCAAGTCTTGTCAAAATCAGGCCACAATCATTTCAAGGTTATATAGAATAATTTAGCAACCCCCCAACGGCCCATGTGATAAATCACTGTCATACATGAAGTTCCTGTATCTGGTTACTGCCCATAAATGACCAATCAGCATCCAATATTGAAAATGGAGTGCTCAGACTGGCAACTGATTGGACGAGGTGAGGCTGTTGGTGCGTGATAGATTGGGAGTGTGCTCTGGTCTGCTGTGTGTGTTCATGCATGTACATACAGTACGTGTGTGTGTGTGTGTGTGTGTGTGTGTGTGTGTGTATGTATAGTGGGATGCACTATCTGCATGTGTATAATGGATAAGACACAGACTAACCTTTCCTCAGAGGAAATGTCACTGACACAAGGTGACATATGTACAACTGTCCTTTGTGTGAAAGGTGTGTGTGTGTGTCCTCCCCTCTTCTTATTTTAAACCATTTCCTTTTTTAAACAGACTGTACGGCTCAATAGCTTGATTTTTGTAATTGTAGATTCAATGCGTAAAGATCCACCAGGAAAGGCAGGGTAGCTACAAAATAATGATACAGTCCCATCCCCAAAGTCCCCATTAAATGTCTTCACATTTGTTTTGTTTTTTTTATATACCGGTATCTAGCTGCTAATCTTACATTACAAGATTCATTAAAGAAAGGTTCAAGGGCCTAACAAACCTGATAATCACTCAGTTAGACCCTGCTGGCAACCCTATAGTGTATGAGTATTTGATCAATGGATTTATAACAAAACACTGAAACACTGATTGGGGTTCCAAAAGCCGTATGAAGGCTTAGACTCGTCTCTCACTGGGCACTGAAAACCTCGGCTGTACTGATCTCTGCTGCAGATATCAATTCCATTTTAAGTAAGCAAAATGCTCTGGAACATTTGCTTCTTGTAACTGAATATTATGGTTTTAAATTGCTTCAGGGCTTATTGAGAAAGTTGACTGAATGTGGTTTGACTTTTATACTGAGAATACATTATACTTTAAATTATAGTATGGTAACAACAAATGTTAAAGATCCCCTCCAGATACAAATAGTCTGCTAGGAGCAATAATGTGTGTTTGATATATTATATCCTGGCATCTATTCCTTTTACCTCATTAAAAATGTCACAAAATTACGGAATCTATGAATATATATTAAAATATAAGAATAATAATATAATATGTTTTCCTGCTGGACACAAGATGTCTCCTACTTCACTGTAAAGCCCATTCTCCCTGTATGTGCACTGGTGGATCACACTTGTTTAAGTTGCATACTGGACCAGGTTTTGACTTGATTTTCAATTATCTCAGACAAACTTTCCACTTTCAGCAAATGAATGTGAAAACAAACTCTGCTCATTCATCATTCTGCACAGTGAAGCTCAAACATCCAACTGTAGGAACAAGAAAAAAGACTTCACTCAAAATAACAGAAAATAACAGTATAAAATTACTTAGTTTTCTGTTTGACAGCACTATCATATGGTTGCTTTCCAGTGAATTAACCTGCGTATTCACCTCCAAATAAAGTGCTTATATGCAGTAATGTTATCTGAGTATTCAGGGAAAAGTTAGACTGCAGTGCAGTATGAGTATAGGTTGCCTGCTGTGCAGAAAACAACATTAACATCATATTTAATGTTGCAAATTTCCACCGCAGCCCAGTGTGAAATACGGCTGTTTTTGTTACAACCGGCAGTAATGAACCTGTGTTTCTTCACTCGAGTAATTAGATTTCAGAAGTTCCCACATAGGAATTAAAATGACTCCAACTGAGAGCTGGTAATTGATTCAGAGTTATATTTACATGTGGCCTTAATAGTAATACGATCCATCAGTGTAACCTGCTAGCTAAAAAGTAAATTTGGGAAGTGTGGAGCTCAAAATATTGCTGCTCTTATTGTTTTTACTATTTGTGAAAAGACATTATGAAGGAAAGAAAGGTTATTTATGCATCCACATCAGACAGCTGACCATTATTGTATGTATGCGTGGACCAACTAATGTAAATGCAGCCATGCACCTGATGTTTGCAGTATTTCTTGGAACCCTTTTATTGTGCTATTTTAGAAACATTTCAAATTATTGCAAAAACACCTTTTATCAATATTGAGGGCAAAATTAAATTGCAATACAGTTTTGCCGCTGGCTGTGCAAACACAGCATCAATATAGTACTGTACCACATGTATTTCCACAGGTTAACACACACTCTGGGATCAGGCCAGTGTAAAATATTACACTGCAGTAATTACTGTGTTCTTTCACTCGAGTAATTCGATTTCAGATGTTCCCACACAGGAATTAAACTGGCTGTAATTCTGAGAACAGGTAATTGATTTAGAGTTACATTTACATAGATGTGGCCTTAATTATACGACACACACTATCAATCAGTTTAACCTTGTAGCTGTAAAATCATTTGGGATGTGTGGAACTAATGAAATTGCTCTTGTTAGTTTTTTACTCTATGACTGATTTGAAGGAAGGAATGAAAGTAAAGGGCATCTGACAGCTGCTCTCTGCTGTATGTATGGACCTCCTAATGTAAATGTAAACCTGCACTTCATATATCCAGGATATCCTGTAACCTTTTACATACTGACGCCTGTAGGGGCGGCTGTGGTACAGAGGCAGAGCGGGTCGTCCCCTAATTAGAAGGTTGTTGGTTCGATCCCCGGCTCCTCCTGCCACATGTCGAAGTAACTGATACTGAACCCCAAATTGCTCCTGATGGTGTGCATCGGTGTGTGAATGGTATAAATGAGTTAGTTTCTGTTTGATGGGCTTTGCCATCACTGAGTGGATGTGTGTGAAAGGGTGAATGTGGCACATAGTGTAAAAGCGCTTTGAGTGGAAGACTAGAAAGGCGCTGCACAAGTACAGGTCCATTTACCATAAAGAATCTGACTTTACACTGAGGTAAATACTATTTATAAAAGTCAAGTTTCTTTTTGTCTGTTTTCTGTTCCATTTGTGGTTCTATATCAGGACACAAACATTAGAAAGTTGCAGTTGACACTGCTGCAACAGAAACTCATCACATTACAACATTTTGATAGAAAACAGAAGAACAACAAGGAACTGTAGTCATGGTCACCTGGGTAAGGACTAAGCATGTTATTTGGTGTTAAGCCCAGCAGTTTATGTTCAAAAGTAAGAATTTTTAGTTTTTTGCATATAATAAAAATTGAGCCAAAGGATTGTTAAATGCTGTATTACTGCAGCTCTTATAGCTAGAGTTATGTTGCTTCCAGAGCAGAGGAAGAGTAACAACAAAAGTCCTCATATTAAAAATAACTGTGCCTTTTCACTACTAACACACCTTTGTTTAAAAAAACAAAATAAAACAAAAAAACGACTCCTTAAACCCAGAACACAACTTGTCATCCCGGTGTCTCATTTATTGATGCATATGATTAACTGTAGAACCTAATTCCACCACCAGGGGGCGTGTGTAATGCCCAGTAAGCAGCTGTGTTATATCATGGTTATGGGTGTGTCAGCTGATGTAAGCCAGCAGATGTATACAGTACATACTGTAGCACTGCTGGTACTGTACCTATGAAGTGCAAGGAGTTCACACTGAGGCCAAACAAGTTTCAGTCTGTGAAATATGAAACTATATGAGTGGGAAGATATTAATACAGATAAATAATGCAATACAGTAGTTTGATATAAAAGCCTCTCATATGAAATGATAGCCTATTGATAAGGCATAGACAGATGTATTGGTCTAGTATAGTATTAATAGCAGTAGTTGGAGCTGTAGGCTTAATCGCTGTAACAGATAGTATCAATAATGTAGTGTTACTTTATTCTATCAGCTATTGGCAGCTTCAGTCCAAAAGTATTGGTGCTGGTGTCACCTTTCAAAAACCCAGAGGTGATTGGTTTAACTCTGGTACTTTGGATATCCACCGAATAAGTAGGTACTTGTGCTGTGTAGCACTGTTAAATTTAGCTTTTATTTTTTCAAAGTTAGGCTTAGATGGATGTCGAAATCAACAGAATTAGATCAAAGAGCGTCACTCCACTTCTGTTTAAGTTGCCTATTTTTACCATTACATACAGCATGTTATGACAAGTGTTTTACAATTCTGAGTAAGATGATTTCATTCTCCAAACCAAGGAAATTATGAAAATAAGGGCAAGTATTCATCATGTTGCCCCATAATTTTGTTCCTACATGATGAAAGAGCTAGTGAAAGAGCTTGTAGAACATTAAAAGTGTCCACTGACACCACAGAGGTGGATTAGCAGCAGCACTGAAGGGTTTTACTAACGCTGTCTTAAACACCATGGACAAAACTTACTGGCTGATATCTCAAAGTCAAAGTCAAAGTCAGCTTTTTTGTCAATTACTTCACATGCACCAGACATATAAGGTAATCGAGAGGACGTTTCTCACTCTCCCACGATGAAACAGATAG